TATTCCTAGTGTTAACCATTCTTCTAAGGTTTCTCCTAATTAGTCTTTTAACATTTTATTTGGTTATCCTACCGCTCATCGATCTCATGCACACTCACAACTTTGAGAATCTTATGGATGAAGATCATGCAAATTTTTATAAAAAATGTATACTTTTAGCACAACGTTCCACTAGGCGTGCCAATTTGTTTACCGTAAAATTTAGTAAACATACGCTAGTCTTCTAATAAGATACTTGCAAGATCGACTAGATTGATCCTAGGACATATGTGCATACAGTTTCTTAAATTTTTATGTGATTTTCTATATAAAAGATAAAAATTTCGACGTGATCGAAATCCTTAAAGCAAATGAAGTTAAATGTAAATGCTGAAAAACGTAAAGGTTTTCGACAAAAAATTAATGTTGAACATAAACTTAATGTTAAAGACTTTGAATAGATAAAAAATGGATTTTGAATATATACATTGCACTCTATAACTCTTTTTTCACTTCGCTCGGTTGTTTAGTCTCGTTTCATGTTTCAACATCTTTAGTCGAAATAATAATCAAATCATTTCAATAATGAATTAGTCCCAACGTTGTTGTACACTTAAGAAACATATTATCTATCTTAACCATTGTCGAAAATCTTTCCCATCACTTGTCGAATATTTCATAGACTTAGTTATAGACTTAGTTAGATTTGTTGAAATACTTTTTCAATCCTTTCTTGATACCTCGAGTTCTAGGATGCGTCGAAATTTTAACTAATAAATACCTCACGTTCATAATGAGAATATAGAAAAAATATGTTGAATCCTGAGAAATTTGCGCTTGAGGTGGATAAATCGTAAAGGACATTGTTCTTACACACTTGATATTTGATTAACACTTTATTATTTTTGCAAGATATAATATTAGTCTTTATGAGAAGATTTGATCAAGTTGCGTTGGTGGCCAAATTATACAACAATTGTAAATTAAATTGACAGCATAGATGCATGAAGTATATCTTTAAAGTATATTACATTGGTTTATTTTCTTTTTATCTTTTTATAGATTCCTTATAAGAAACATTGGTTTAAGCCTAGTCTGATATAACCTTATAAGAAACATATTAAACACTAAGCATAAATAAGTTTTAGTAAATACTCGAATTTTAATTTCTATGATGTAAGAATCTAGTCAGTTATGTTATATTCAACCTATTTCATTATACTACATAAATGATCTTATTATAGAAATTTAAAAAAAAATTATTTCCAACAAAATATTTTAATGGCTCTCTCAGTACACCAGCTCACTGTTGGTGCAAGGTAATAAAAAGGGAAAAGAAGAATGAACAATGAATGATAAAAAAGAGGACTGCTACTGTATATCAAAAGAGGAATGAATGAGTTACAATATTGATAGTCTAGGTAGCATATTTATACTAAATTTGAAAATGCCAAAAGGGCCTAATAAAGAATAAGCATTGGGAATTGTAGACATTAACTAAATTACATTTTCAATACCATTCCTTAATTTAGATATTTCTATCAGAAACTAACAACACCAATTTCATCTCTCAAATGAAGAAATTGATCTGTTTTAACTGCCTTTGTCAGAAGATCTGAAATTTGTTTCTGAGTGCTACAGTGCAGAACTTCTAACACTCCTTTCTGCACTTGACTTCTGAGAAAGTGATACTTCGTCTCAATGTACTTGCTTCTTCCATGTAGCACTGGATTCTTGGCAAGATCAATTACAGACTTATTATCAATCATCAGCTTCAGAGGTTCCTCAACTTCAACCTTCAGATCATGCAGGAGATTCAGAAGTCAAACTGCTTGACAAGCAGCTACAGCACCTGCGATATACTCAGCTTCACATGTTGACAGAGCCACGACAGGCTATTTCTTGGAACTCCAAGAAATGGGACCTCCCAGAAATTTAAACAAGTATCCAGAAGTACTTCTTCTGTCCACTCTGTCTCCGCACCAGTCAAAATCAGAATAACTTACTAATTCTGATTTTGTCTTTCTTTCAAAAGGAAACAACACTCCATATCTCAGAGTTCCCTTGATATATCTCATAATTCTGATAGCAGCTTGGAAATGAGACCACTTTGGATTACTCATGAATCTGCTAACCAATCCAACTGCATAACAAATGTTAGGTCTAGTCATCAGAACTTCTTTGAACTTCTTTATATCTTCTGGGCAGCTACCTGTTAGCAAAATTTCATCAACATATAGACACACCAGAATCATATTGTTATCATAGTGTTGTACATAAACTCCATATTCCATCTCAAACTTCTGAAAACTCTGCTTCTTGAAAAATGAATCAATTTTCAGATTCCAAGCTCTAGGCTCTTGCTCCAGTCCATACAGAGCTTTATTTAACCTGTATACCATCCCTTCCTGATTCTTTTTCACAAATCCAGGAGGTTGTGACACATAAACTTCTTCCTGTAATGGACCGTTCAGAAATACAAATTTTACATCTAAATGCATCATAGGCCAATTCCTATTAGCAACTATTGCAATCACTAGTCTGATTGTTTAATGCCTAGATACAAGCGAAAACACCTCAAAATAATCTAGCCCAGGTTTCTGAAGAAAACCTCTAGCTACTAGTCTAACTTTGTATTTTCCAATTGATCCATCTGGCTTTAGCTTTTGCTTGAAAACCCATCTGACGCTGATGGCTTTCTTGCCTTTTGGAAGTTCTGTCAGCTTCCAATTCTTATTTCTCTCTATAGCATCAAGTTATTCTTTCATGGCATGTAACTAAACTCGGTGCTTAAGAGCCTCTTTCGTACTCACGGGTTCAGAGTCTACTAACATTGCATACTGAATAACTTCTCCTTCAGAGTTTACTTCAGTGTCTAGCAACATGTCAAACTCTGCAAATCTTCTTGGGATGCTTCTGACTCTTTCTTGCCTCTGAACTAGATCTTCAGAACTTTGAACACCATAACTTCCCCCTTCAGAAGATCTTGCTTCAGAGTTTTTACTTTCTCCAGAATCTTGACTGTCTTCAGAGTATTGAAAATTCCCAGGGTCTGAATCATCATCAGAGTCAGAGCCACTACCTTCAGAAATACCATCTTCAAAAGTTGGATCACCTCTGCCTTCAGAAGTTCCACTTTCAGAATCATGATCATCGTCAAAGGTTGAATTTCCTTCAGAAGCTCCTCCTTCAGAAGGTACATTCTTAGAGTCATGATTTCCACCAGAAACCTGATCATCTTTAGAAGTTTGTCCTCCAGAACCTACATCTTTATAGTTTTCCCTTCTAGAAGCATGATCACCACCAAATTCTGGATCATCATCAAAATCTGGATCAGAATCAGATTCACCATCTGAGTCACCTTCAGAGTTTCCAGAGTCATCATCTTCTGACTCTTATTTAGAAGCAGAATCTTCTTCAGACTCAGAATCACCTTCAGATTCTGACTTTTCTTCAGCTTCAGAGTCATCTTCTAACTCTAACTCGTCTTCAAAAACCTCAGATTCTAACTCATCTTCAAAATCATCAAAGTCGTCATCTGATTCTAACTCAGAGTCATATTCTGATTCTTACTCATACAAAATAACTCCTTCAGAATCAGGATATTCAGGGTCATATTCTTCTTCCCCTTCAGAATCATAAAATGACAATTTCACTGGTTCCTCATCAGATTCATAAGCCATAAATAGCACAGGTTCATCATTTGAATCTCCTCTTGCTATATTTGCTTCTTCTTACTTCCTTTCTTTGTTGGACCAGCAATCTCTGGCATAGTGACCAAAGTTCTTACAACAGTAACACTGAACATTCCTTTTGTCAGACTTCTCCTTTCCATTCTGGACATTCTTATCATCAGAAGTTGAGGCTTCTGACTTCTGGAATCTATCACCACGTCTATTCCGCTTCTGGTCTTTCTTGACAAAAGAAGCCTTCAGAGCTTGCTCAGCTTCCCTCTCAGAAGTTCTCTCAAATAGGCGTAACTCCTGTGCTTCTAAGCTGCTTTGCAATTCTTCTATTCTCATAGTTTCCAGATTTTTAGAATGTTCAATAGAAACAACAATGTAATCAAACTGAGGAGTAAGCGACCTCAGAATCTTCTCTATGATTACTTGTTCAGACAGAGTTTCTCCACACACCTTCATCTCGTTAGTGATCAGAATCACTCTGGAGATATATTCAGAAACATTCTCACTACTCTTCATGTTCAGGTTCTCATATTGCTTTCGTAAGGATTGAAGCTTCACCTTCTTTACTGATGTGTCACCACCGTAACATCTCACCAGTAAATCCCACGCCCCTTTTGATATTGTTGAATCAGTAATCTTCTCAAACACACTTTCATCCACACACTGATGGATATAGAATAGAGCTTTCTGGTCCCTCTTCCTCATCATCTTCTCAATAGTTCTCTGTTCTTCAGTTGCATCTGCTGCAGTTGGTACATAACCATCTGTAACCAGATCCAGAACATCTTGTGTATCAAACAGCACACACATTTGTATCATCCATCTGTTCCAGTTTTTGCCATTAAAAACTGGAAGTTTGGTGTTCAAACTACTGTCTCCACTCATTTTAAACCTTGCACGAATTTTCAGATCTTCAAACACACTGTTTCCCAACCCACAGAATCAAATTCTGTTCAGATTTTGTTCAAGATTTCAACAGAAAATCAGTGAATCAAAATCAAACACACAGCTCACAAACACTCGTGTTTCCGAGGAAAAACAGAACCAAATGCTCTAGATACCAATTTGTTGGTGCAAAGTAATGAAAGGGGAGAAGAAGAATGAACGATGAATGATAACAAAGAGGACTACAACTGTATATCAAAAGAGGAATGAATGAGTTACAATATTGATAGCCTAGGTAACATATTTATACTAAAATTGAAAATGTCAAAAGGCCCTAATAAAGAATAAACATTGAGAATTGTATACATTAACTAAATTATATTTCCAATGCTTACTATATGAAGATAGGGAGGGAACAAATACATTCTTATTACCTTCATTAGAGACATGTCAAGCTTCTTTTACAATATGTTCTACGTAACATATCAAAGTGAATTTCATAAAACTGATAATTTGATGATGACTCGATTGGTGAATCTCTACAGTTTGTTGAGGGGTCTTGGCAATATGAATTGCCAAATTCACTTTAGTCAAGAAGTTTAGGAGATTGTATTCCAGTTTTCGCAAGAATTCACACATTATCAATGATGCGGAATTTGTCACTTTACCCCAACTAAATATGCCCATGTTACAGATGTGAAAACCTCTTATAGCTTCCCTTGGCAATTTAAGAATAGCTGTAGTTCCTTTCTCAAAATTATAAGACATTATGTATGGCTTATAAAAAGGACTCAATCTCGTAAAGTAATCCGAGCAATCCGAGATGAAATGAACGACTCCATCGTGAAACACCGGCATGTTGAATTTCATATTCCTACCACCACTTATAAAGTCATTTTCCATTGTTTTCCACATTCCTTCTCTTCCATGATAAATATTGCATGTATAACTAGTTGGTGACCATTCGGTTGTATTTTCAAAATAAAAAATCTCATAAGCAATGTCTTTTTGAGAGACTACCATATTTTCTAGGAATGGAAAAAATAAAGGATGAAAAAAAGATGAGGATACACTACAACAATTAATACATTTTATGATGGAACATTTCAACTCACCCAATAAAAATCTGAAGTGTATATCATAGACGCGTCATATTTTAATCTTTTAAAAATAATATATATTTCCTCGGTTTTGTTGGAAACCGAGTGGAAATGTATTTAGAGGACGTATATTTGAATGTCAGCAACTATACTTTATCACTTTTGAATTTTTTAAAATGTTTAACAGGACTTTAATTTATCCTTCGTTTTTTTTATTAAAAATCGAGGTAAAAAGTAGCGCAGTTTTACAAATTAAAAAAATCAGTTGCTGGGGTAAAATAGTGTATTTTATTTTTTATTTTTTTTTATTTATGACCAATTTGATGAAAAATTAAGTAACAAGTCTTTACCGTCTATTTATAAAGTAACAATGGTCAAAACATTGTCAACTCATCAATCTACATGAAACATTAGTGATCTACGTAAAACTCTCACTAGCCAATCAAAACGTGAATTCCACAACTATTCATCTAGGATGTAAAATACTGAAATTTAAACTTAACATATTGTTGTTGGCTGAAGATTTTGATAATATTATTAGAAGCAAAGTAAAGTGGACGTTTCGATCGAAATGAAACAAAACGTCATGTTTCGAAATAGCAGAAGCAGTGTTTCGAATGAGCATATCAAAGCTTGGAGCTTCGAGTGGCAATTATGAGAATATATCCAAAGAAGTCTCGAAATGACAACAAGGCTGTTTGAAATTTATGTGCTGGAGCATTTGAAGACATGTGGAAACAAGAGAGAGGCATTGTTCTGCATGTTCTGAACGTGGCAGAATCTTATAGCAAGACCGTTATGGTCGAAGTAGTATAAATAGAAGTCTTAGTATTAGGATTTCGTGTGTCATATCTATTGTACTAAATACTCAGTAAACATTCAAATTACCACATGGCTAGGGAAACGAATGCAAGAGCAATGTACGTATGATAACACCACATATTTATGATTTAATGAAAACCCTTTATCATTTCCAGTACTTTCCTTTATCTTTTTGTCAAATACCATTTACAAGTTTTTGCATCTAAAGTCTTTTTATTCGAAATCTTTTCATTGATGCCTTACATTTAAATGCTTTCTTTCCATTTCAAACATTTTACGTTTCAGAAACTGTTATACATTTCATGTCTTTATCTTCAAGTTTTTATCCTTCGAACGCTTCTTTTTACTTAAAGTCATTTTACAGATTTCTTGCATTAAACGCTTTCTTCATATTTCGAATCTTTTACATTCCAGAGCATATTTTACATTAACTGTTTTTATAATTCGAAGCCATTTACTTGTCTTTTATGAAGTTTACATGTCTTTACAATTAACTTTTATTCATGCAATTTAGTTTCACGCACATATATTTTGATTACATCTTTAGATCTTTAAGAGAGAAATCGAAATAAGTCAAACACATACACAACATTTTAAGAGAAACCATGAATACCTGTTCGATCATGAGAGTTACCCTAATGACCAACACGTCCTAGGATCAATCTAGTCGATCCTGCGAGTTACCAGAGAAATTGAATAACAGTCAGTAAGTTTATTCGATAGTTTGGAAGACTAGCAGTTGTTTACCAGAAATCACTGGAAACAAATTGGCACACCCGGTGGGACCCAATCGTTGGACATTAGAAATAAAGATTGTTGAGACATAACCATTATAAAAACGTTGGAACCTAAGAAGTTTGCTGTTTTATGAACCTAAAAAGTGGTAAAATAACCAACAGCAACCAACCCTTATCCAGAAGAAAACGTTTGAACAAGATGTCTAATTCTGACAATCAACAAGGGGAACAAAATTCCCCACATACAACAGGCACTAATGTATTCGCTTCGATGGGAACATCTAATGTGATCCCTTCGAATGCACAGTCTGTTGCATCTTCAACCAGTAATATAGCCACTAATGGAGTAAATGGCATATCAACTAATAGTTCGATCTTAGGAAATACTGGAACCACTGGTTATCCTGGGGGATTCGTTCCACCATCAGGAACACAAACCCATTTCGCCACTCCACTAACTAGACCACCCGGTTTCGATAGTAATAGAACCAGAAATTCCTCTTATGGAATGCCAACATCTTTTATGGCAGGTTTACACAATTCCACATCGAATTCATCACCACAATTAGGGTCTGGGTCTGGGGCGAACCAGTTTATGACAAATAACCAAGGGTCAGTGGGTTATAGTACAATGCCTATTTTAACCACGGAAAACCAATTAGCCTTTAGGCAATTGATGGATGATAGTAACCATAATATGATAGGGGTATTAGCACAAACTATGCAGGAAATATTTGCCCTAATAGTACAAAATGTGACTGTGACAAACAGAGAAAACGCTGATAACATGAGTCGAATAGCAGATTTCTTTGCTCCCCCAGATAGGCATAGGCAGAATCAGGAGGGAGTTCGAGCAAACTTACCTATTATGAAACAAGTTGCTAATGACCCAAACTATAGACCACCTAGAGAAGAAGTTAACTTGGGGGCAAGGGCACAAAGGCTAGAAGCCCCAATAATCCCAGGCCCACAAAGAGAAATTATGGAACCAGGGGCAAGGGTCGAAAGGCTGGAAGTCCCAGAGTTTCGAGAAGAACAACCTAGGGGGGTTGTCATGGTGGGTCGAACTCAAGATGCTGATGTTGTCGTTCATAGAATTCGAAACGACAACATCTTGGCAGAAAAAAATTTAACCACCATGATAGAGAGAGTCATGGCCCAGAATGGCCTCAACACAGGAATTAGTAGACCAAATTATGCTTCTCCTATATTAGATTGCATAATGCATACTGATTTACCAAGGGGATATAAAGTCCCTAAATTTACAAAGTTCGCTGGAGATACCAATGAGTCAACAGTCGAACACATAGCCAGATATTTAATCGAAGCGGGAGATATAGCCAATAATGAAGATCTCAGGATCAAATATTTCCCAAGTTCCTTGACTAAAAACGCCTTCACGTGGTTTACCACTTTGCCTCCTGGGTCCATTGATACTTGGGCTCTTTTGGAGAGATTATTCCATGAACAATTTTACATGGGACAGTCGAAAATAAGCTTGAAGGAATTAGCCAGTGTCAAGAGAAAGTTCACTGAACCCATAGATGATTATCTGAATAGATTTAGGCTTTTGAAATCCAGATGTTACACAGTAGTGCCTGAACATGAGTTATTCGAAATGGCCGCTGGTGGCTTGGATTACTCTATTCGAAAGAAACTAGACACTCAATATTTGAGGGACATGGCTCAGTTAGCCGATAGGGTTCGACAGGTCGAAAGGCTAAAGGCCGAAAAGGCCAGAGTCTTTAAGAATAACAAGAAAGAAAGGATCTCCTATGTTGGAACTGAGGAAGCAGAAGATTATCCTGAATTTGAATTCGAAGAGGTCGAAATCGACCTCGCTGAATTAAAACAGGCACCACCCTACTCCTGTAAATTATTGGTTCCCACAAAAGGGAAAGAGATTGTTGAAAATGAGAAAAGTGACAAATTCCCAAAGAAGGTTTATACCTTTGATGTCACTAAATGTGACGAGATTTTTGATTTACTTGTCAAAGATGGCCAACTCATTGTGCCATCAAATGTCAAAATTCCTCCTTTAGATCAAAGAAAGAAGAGAGGATTTTGCAAATATCATAGTTTCCTAGGCCACAAAACCTCACAGTGTTTTCTTTTCAGAGACCTAATTCAGAATGCAATCAAAGATGGCAGACTGAAGTTTGCTGATAAAGCAAAGATGAAAGTGGACGAAGATCCTTTGGACGTGGCAGACACCAACTACTCCGAGCCTGCATGCATTGGAGAGATTAACATGGTGGAAGCTGACCAAAGTGATGCCCCAATAGGAGAGAAAGGTACTGAAAACGAAAGCTGGGTGATGGTCGAAGTCGATAAGGAGGTCACTGAAGACGTCCAGAAGCTACCAGAGACTTCGATTGAAGCAGCACCCTTAGTTGTTGCAAAAGAAATCCAGGCTACTGAAGGCCAGGAGAGTCAAAACCAAGAGCTAACACAGGTCACTGAAGGCCTGAGGCTGGAATTGGAGAAAGTCCAAATCACGAAGCCAACTTCCCCTCAGAAGGAGATATGGGACACTCTAGGGGAACCCAGTGGAAAATTTGACTATTTGGTCAAATATTCTGCCCCAGAGAGTTCGAAGGTCCACATTGAAGATATAAAACCCACAGGATGGGGAGATGATGAAGCTGAAGGGGAGGATGTTGAGGTGAACATGGTGGACATGGAAAGACCTCACTCTGAGATGGAGGAGGTAGAAAGATATTTGGAAAAAGAGAAGTATAAAATGGAGGATAATCATACTGGAGATACTAGTCTCAAGGATTACCTCATGACATGCCACAAGGGAGATACAGACATGATACTGTGCCCTAGGTGCAGCATCCACTGCAATCAGAGAATCGCTGCGAACTTCGAAAGGGTACAGAGGGCTCGAACTGGCAACAATTGGCGCCAGGATAACCAACTATTCAGGTGTTATCCTAAGGCTGGAGAAAGTTTGCTGGAATTTGTGTTTCGCTGCTACAAAGTGGCAACCAAGTGCTTGATTTGCCCAAGGTGTTCCGCTGTGTATGATCAAAGCATGGCCAGAGCCCTCGAAACGATTCCCTTCGCCCCTTGCTGGAACCATCAAGAAACTGTGCAGATGGGCCCACATTTCGATAGCAAATACAAGCAACGACGGCCTGATAGTCCTCATCCCAAGGCTGCTCGAAGAGTGACTTTCAAACTCCCTGCTGAAGTGCCAACCGACAGATGGTTGCAAGTCAGAAATGACAAAGGAAAAGACAGATGGAGAAACACCGAACGAAATGCACGCCATGCTATGACATACAGAAGGCAATTCAACATAGCAAAAAGGGAAGAGGTAAGATTAGAAAACTACAAAGGAAGGAACCCCATGTCG